TCTCAGTACATGAGACATTATAGAAGTATTTCACCAGCTACTTAATCTGAGATGCCAGCACAGAGAGTGCGTGCGCCGTTGGCTCTCGTGACTCTCTGTGTAGCTCAGAGTGAAATGTTTTAAAAGTAAATTGAATTATCGCAGACAAGTGGTGGGCAGTTTTCGAGCAAGTTTTGAAACTTCACCAATAAATGATAGATTTTCTTCCCTGTGCTTGCTGATGACAGCCCGATGTGATCTTGACATTTCCAATCTGTGTGATATTTCCTAACAACATGGGCCAATCTTCATTTAATAGCCCTCGCACCTAATTAGGCCAGCTCTAATGTTCCACTCGGCAGAGTGTCAAATCCAATGTCCAATTACACAGCAGATCAAGGCCAAAGGTCCGCCTCCACTACCTCTCAGGCTGATTATAGAAGAAGTGCCACGGTATACATCACACAGAAAGAAACGGGTCTGTCAGAAGAAGGAAAGAGACGCGCGCAAATGCGCACACACGCATGCACACATACACATAAGGGGATCAATACTGCAGGCAAAGAGGCTGAGGGACTGAGGGAGGCTCTCTCAAACCCTGCCTGTCTATTTCAGACAGAGTCTCTCTGTTACACCAGGCAGACACACAGAGGCCTCTCAGTGCTGAAGTCAGACCACGATGAGGAATAGCAGGTCCGAACATTACCAGAATGTTAAAATCAATCTAAGTCTTGCTTAGTGTATTGCTGTATCTGTGTGTAGATAACTCACAATGGTTGCATCATATTTTTTCTTAAATACTAAAAGATACTAAAAATGTTTTTGCCTTGTTACAAAAATCAGTAAAGACCAAAGCCTGTCCTGAGGGATAAGCTGCTGAATGGTTTCTCTTCCTGTTGTCCACACCTTTCTGTAGAGCATATGTCAATAATCAAACCAAACAGAGCAGACCCTCGTCCAGATGGCTCAGCTCACGTGTTTAATGTTGGGATTGACACCACATGCTAAACACAATGCGTGGGTTTCACCTGGATACACAGCAACTGGATAAACAGTCTTCATGTGCACCAGAGCTGAAAGCCCCCTCCTGGAGGTGCCCTCATATGGAGCAGGGAGATGGACTGAGGCGAATGGTTTGACAGGGAAATGACACGCGACTGAGCTAAGTTGAGTAACACACACACACACACACACACACAAAAAGGAATAACTATTCTCTGAAGCGAAGTGAGCTCCAAAAACAAAATCCAAGAAAAGGATTGTACGCCGTAACCTCTTCTGTTATAGTGCAATGCATCACTTGAGAGCAATGAAGAATATTGATGGCGTTGTGTGTTAGCAAATCGATTCTGTGATACCGCAATCCGTATTCTCTTTTGCTGCTTTTTTTTTTTTTTTTTTTTTTAAATAGAAGTTTTCCTTTTAAGATGAAAACTTTAGAAAAGTGAGCTCCTGTAGACCTGACACAGAGGAGAGATGGAGGGCAGTGCACAGTTGGGGTGGGTTAGGGGAGGGGGGGGGGAGGCATAACGCCATACTAATCTGTGTTGTTGTGTGTAAGTCATGTGTGCGTGTGTGTGTGTGTGTGTGTGTGTGTGTGTGTGTGTGTGTGTGTGTGTGTGTGTGTGTGTGTGTGTGTGTGTGTGTGTGCGAGGAGGAGACTGCAGAGGTAATTGCTAGGGAAGAGCCATGTGCACGAAGGACGTTGAAGCTTATTAAAGGAGGAGACAGAGTGATTATTCACTATGGTCCTCTTGAGAGACTGACGCTGAAGTCATTGCTTTTAATTAACTCTGAAACGGTTTTGCGGATTAATAACAATATTAAGAAGGGAACGGAGAGGAGAAGCGCAAACACATCCTGGATCTGGTTCAAGCTTTTTAATTACAATTAAATAGACTCAATAGCACAATAGGACAATAACTATGTCTTTTCTGTCCTCCTCTTTCTTCCCCCTTCTGCCGCGTCCAATAAATTTGTCTTCATTGTCGCGGCTGTGTCTCTCAGGATGTGTCCAAGGCAGGTTATAGCAAAGCACTGATTTAATGGGGAAGGAGTTTAGGATTGGTTGGAATATTTGGCACGCAAGCAAAAGAACAGGCGATGAAGAAGCCAGAAGAGAGAGTGTGGAGAGGAACTTGGAAAGCGGATAAAGTGTGCTGTGCTGAAAATAGATTCCTTATTTGTTTGTTTACCAGGAAGCTAACTTTTTTTGGTCTAGCTAGAAAAAGTGTCAAAGTTCTGGGGACAGTGCTGCGATTCTTGTGTTGCACTCTGCCAAGTGAAAAGAGGAAGAGCATGGGAGGGGGGAGAGGAGAATAAAAAAAAATAAAAAAAAAGAGGTAACCCGTGGATGTTGATGTTGAACACAGCTTCTAAGAACCCCTGGAGTGGGAGGAGCACATGCTGGAGTGAAACAGCACTGCAGGGCCTGGAAACCCGCTGCTTCACTAAAGCCAAAAGATGATAAAATACTGGTATTGTCTGCAATTCCCCGGCCTCCCCTGTCCCAACTCACAGTGTAGCTTTTTTCAGCCTTAATGAGCTGAGGAAAGCACCAGTGTGACTGTAGGAGCTTCAGTCTGACTCGCAGCACTTCATCAATGATGTAGCATAAGTTGGCCCAACATTTATAACCATTCACAGTCATTTACACAGACTGAGGCTCTGGGGCCTTCTCCATCAACCAACATCCTAATAAACACCACAGCAAGAGGAGAGCACGTTTATGCGTAAGCTGTGACACAGGACGGAGGAAGACGGAGACAGAGAAGCAGCTACCACTTAATAAACATTACGCGGGTCTCTGGAGATGCACACTGTGTGCGTCTAACTTAAGTACCTCCACACCCTCCTCTTGGGAACACAATGAAGCGGTAACAGAAGGCGTTTTATAGGAACATATGTTCTTCTTCCCCTATTATATATCAATGCTTTTACACCCACCCATAAACATTACTGTTGAGTGAGACATTATATATAGAAGGCAATTGCTGTAACTTGTTTTTTTTCTTTTTTGTTTTTTTTTTTTCTTGCTGGGTATGAACTTGGCCAGGGTAAAGGAGTTAACCTCCAGGGGCCTTGGCGGGACTGAAAGATTCACGCCACAGAGACGACGATGCCAACTCTATACCCATATCGTGGTCTCAGCACTTGCAACAGCTTTCTGCTTTACCCTACTTGGCAAAAGCAATAAAACTTAAAGAAAATTAAAAATGAACCAAAAATTAAATGTTTTTTTTTTGTTAGCCAGCAGATGTGACACAGGCGACAGAGACTGCTGGGCCGTGATGTCAAGTGACTTGTTTGTGAATTGTAGAGATATTTATCATTTATCTTGTTGCAGGGATCTGTGACTGCAGAGAACAGTGCATCAGCAACTCCACATGCTAAGAAACGACACTTCCTGTGACCTGTAATCTCATTTAACATTCAGTCAGAAAAAAAAAAAAATGTTTGTCACCACCAGCAGCATCTCTCATCACATTACTGTGTAACCACGTGTACAATTGACTTTGATTACAAAGATGATGGTGGCAGGACACGAAGCTCAACTGAGCCTGTGAAGCTGACAGTTCTACAGTAGAGGCATGACAGTGTGTGAAATACCCCCCACCCCACCCCACCCCACCCCCCAAACTTCTACTTTCTCATGATTTCTTATTATATAATGAACTTGAACGCAGAATTGAACTTGAAAGACCAGCAAGTATTGAAGTTTTGCATGAGATTAAATGTGAAAGCTGCTTTGTACTATGCTCTAAAGCCTCTTTTTTTCTTTTTTTTTTTTTAACTATGACAGGTTGCTTCTTCTCTCATTTGTTTTCTTTACATTCTTACGTTTTATTTCTCATGTTTGTCATGATCCTGGTGAAGACGCAGTTTCAGCCTGAGTAAACACAGCACACAAAGAGTGAAATAACTGTCGTGCAACATCCATCATTTTACGGGCAAAACGCGTTTCGCAGTCACTTTGAAGGGAAGAGATGTGACGGCTGATCGGAAAAGCTGCAAACTACACTGGCACACATTACCAACCTGAGAAGACCCTCGGGGGCGCAAAATAAGATTAGCGCCCCATTAAAATGATGCATCAAAGAAGCCGTGAATAGATCACGTAGACGTTCTAATGCATTTAACACGACGGGGAGAGACAGATGGATGCAGCGGCGGACAGATAACATTAGCCGGTGTGTTTGCACAGACAGGTACGGTCCAAATATTTAAAGCGAATTTTCTGACACTCCTTCCCCCTCACCTTTTTTCACACAATGCGCCGAGCTGCCAAAACCCACAGTCTAAAAGTTAAATGGGTCGTTTATAACAGAAACGGGAGGTAATATCTACATAATAATAATAATAATAATAATGATAATAATTAATAACTCGGAATGGAATCGTCACATATATTTAACCAAACAAAAGTAAATGGATGGCGACATCTTTATTACTTCCAACTCCTGCAGCTTCATTGTCATCATCATCACTCCAGACTTTCCACTCTGAACCTCTCTTATTCCAACACTCCAACACGGACTGCCAGTAAATTCCACAAGATATTAATCCCAGTTCAGGAAAAAAAAAAGAAGGAACGCCTGATCGCTTTCCAAATTTTTACAGTGGCAAGGCAAAAAGACCGGCGCGCACTACCCGCCCACACTGTGACCGTCCTTTTGGATCGCGGGACGCGGCAATGTCAGGACGCATCATGCGAAGAGGGGACGCGGGTTGCAACTAGTCAACACAGCTTTATCTCCAGGCGCGCCGGGTGCCACAGCTGTGCGCTCTGGGCTCTGGAGGCGCATGGCAGATGCGCACGCTCGCCGCACAAAGTCACTTTTTATTCACCTGCTTTATGAAAAAGCCTCCTGCAATGTATGGATTTTTTTTTTTTTTTTTTTTTTTTTTTAAAGAGAGCCATAGAGGAAGTAGCTAGGGAGAGGAGGAGAGTGGGCATCAGAGGAGTCAGGCATGCTTACACTGGGGGAGAGGAAACTCAGAAAAAGTTTTGAAGCACCAACCTGGCCATTCTTGCAGAGGTCTGCCCACATGCTGGTGCCATCCCCTCCTCTCATCAGCACATGGTAGATGAAGAAGTATGTGCCCGGTATGCTGCAGATGAACTTGCCCGAAATACCATCGTAGTTGTTGCCCAAGTTGGTGACCACGTCGTCAAACTTGAGGATCTCATAGCCTTCGTGGGGGTTCTTAAGCCCTGCATAGAAGGCCACCCGAGGCACCGTGCTGTAGGTGGCTGTGCTGATAGCTCCATTTTCGCCCAGACCCAAAATCCCAGTCCTTCCTTGATCCCCTCTTTCACCAGGAGGCCCAGCTGGTCCTGGTGGCCCCGGTTCTCCCGGCGGTCCACGTGGTCCGGGCTTGCCTTGCTTGCCAGGCTTCCCCTGTGGGCCTTGCAGCAAGGTGGAGGGTGGAAGCACGTTGCTGTGGTCGCTCAACGCCTCAGCCTCAGCCTGGAGACCGGTGGAGCTGGTGCTGCTGGCCGGAGTGCCCTTGTTCAAGTAGGGGTCGCACACCATACGACAGGTGCCCAGCATCTCATAGTGGCTGGCATCTGTACCCACGGAGCTGACGAGCACAGGGATGAGGACCACCAGCACCAGGACCAGCATAACCCCAACGGCAGCCGCCACCAGGGTCTTCCTCCCGATGCTGAGTCGGGGAAGGGGCTGCGCTGCCAGCGTGGGTCTCCCGGGGGCGGAAATGGTGACTGTTTGGTGTGGGGAGCCTGTCACCGATGAAAGGGACCCAGAGATCCCGAGAAGAGTTGCAAGAGGAGCGGCGAATGTGTGAGGGTGAGACAGAGACCCACATACACTTGATACACCTCACTGCTCTGCTCAGTCACACTGAAGTAGGCAACCGGTCACTCACACATACAAAAAGACTTAAGGAAGCCCAAGCATACAGAGGGAGACATTCAGCGCGTACTTACAAACACAATCTGACTTGTGAGAAGAAGCAAGAAGGATGCAGAGCCCAGAGGAATGAAGTGAGAGACAGAGGGAGCGAGACACAGAGAGAGAGAGAGAGAGAGAGAAAATGATGAGAGTGGGTGAGTGTGAGAGATACAGAGCAGCCACTGGATCTGTGTGTGTTTGTGTGTGTGTGTGTGTGTGTGTGTGTATGTGTGGTGAGTTTGTGGTGCCGGATTCTCAGGCTTGGCTTTTTATACGGCGGTAGCAGCAGAGCCCCCTCCTTCCCCTCTGCCCCCCCCCCATCGAGTGAGAGGTTGGTGTGGTTACGTCCCCCTTTCTCTCTGTCTCCCTCTCTCTCTCCCTCTCTCTCTCTCTCTCTCTCTCTCTCTCCTCTCTCTCCTCTCTCTCAGAGAAACAACTCTCATCATCACATTGCATTTCTCTTCTATCACTCTCCTGATCCACAGTGGAACCAACACAACCTTCCTGACCATCTTGCTCCCCTTCTTTCATCCCCCTCTCCTCGCCTTTCCCCTCTTTCCCCCCCAGTTTAGAAGCCGCTTCTCACTCCCTTGCTTTCTCCTCTCTCATCAGCATCCAGCCTCTAAAAATAAAGATGGAGCTGTGGAAAGACAGTTTTTTTTTCTTTTTTCTTTTTTTTTTTTTTTTCCTGGAGGTGGGTTCTAAAGATTCATGCATATATGTGCACAGACACAAGACAACACTTAAATCTGCCATGCCAGGAAATGCTTGCAGCTTCTCATAAAAAAAGGTGCTAATTACAAAAGTTAAAGCCAAGAATGAAGTGCTCAACCAACAAAACCAACTGCTTCAAGACTTTCTGTGGCACATCACACACATGGGTAAAGGGATATCTAGTGGCTGCTGACGTTGACCCTGTTACTTTATTCGCCCTCTCTGCCCCCCCCCCCCATGTCAATAACTGTGTCTCTCCACCTGAACGCGCTGACACCATTTCTTATTGGTGTCTTTTTTTAAGGTATTGATTTCATGTTTTTTTTTTATTTTTTTTATCAAATTAAGGGTTCTGGTTGGGAGGAAAAAAAAATCTATATGCAGCTGTGATGTCATTTGTTTGACATTTTCATCCCTTTAGAGCAGCGGTCCCCAAACTTTTTTCAGTGGGGGCCACATCAACTTTCCTTTCTGAGATGGGGGGCCGAGGTTAGTCTATAACAGGAAATGATATGGGCCAGGGTGACAACCAGTATTATTGTGGAGATTACAATGATAATTTGTTGTAGCTGCCCTTCGTTTGGCTTTGGCACCACCTGTTGATTTGCAAAAAAAAGTAATAAAAAGTCTTCACATGTGTTTATTTGAAGTACCACAGATACTCCATTTATTTTATAGAAAATAACAACACAAACTGATGGTAATGCCGGGGGGGGTGGGGGGGGGGCCGGCGGGCGGCTATGCTCTACTTTGCCTGGGCCGCAATGCCTTGTGCGGGGGAGGCGGGGGGCGGCCGGCAGGCAAAGCTAGCTGCTGCTGTGCTGGGTTGCAATGGCTGTGCGGGTGGGGGGCGGGGCGCGCCGGCGGGCCGCGGGCGGGCGGCTAGCTTGCTTGCTGGGCGCAATGGCTGTGCCGGGGGGGGGGCGCGCGGCGGGCCGGCGGCGGTAGCTCTACTTGCTGGGCGCAAATGCCTGTGCCGGGGGGGGGGGGGGCGCCGGCGGGCAAGCTAGCTCTGCTTGGCTGGGTGCAATGGCTGTGCCAGGTGGGGGGGGGGGGGGGGCGCCGGGGGCCGCCGGGCGGCTAGCTCTGCTTGCTGGGCGCAATGTGCTGTGCCGGGGGGGGGGCGCCGGCGGGCGGCTAGCTCTTACTTGCTGGGCGCAATGCTGTGCCAGGGAGAGGGGGGGGCGCGGGCGGGGCAGCTAGCTCTGCTTGCTAGGTGCAATGGCTGTGCCGGGTGGGGGGGGGGGCGCCGGCGGGCCGCGGGCGGCTACGCTTCTGCTTGCTAGCGCAATGGCTGTGCGGGCGGGAGGGGGGGGCGCCGGGCGGGCAGCTAGCTCTGCTTGCTGGGCGCAATGCCGTGACCGGGGGGGGGGGCGGGGCGCGCCGGCGGGCCGCCATGGGTCATCTCTCATAGGCTGAGGTGCCACACCATTAAGACTAGTGTGAATGTCACAACGGAAAGTTTGTCCAAAGTCCACAAGTTTGGTGTCTACGGACTCGGCCCGTCACACTGAGTAACATTATGTCAGACCCAGCGCTTCTGGAGTCGCTCCCTTCGAAAGGCCGTCACTGGGCGGTCTCTCATATGCTGCCGGGGACACGGTCTTAAATTCTGTTTTAATAATTTCCAAAAAAATTTTCGCGAAAGTCCACAAATTGTGGTGTCTATGGACTCGGCTCGTCACGCTGAGCTACACACTATGTCAGCCCCAGGCATTCTAAGTCGCTTCCCTATCTGGAAGGGAATGGCCTCGCTTAAACCGTCTCCAAGGACCCGCTTGCTGCAACGCAAAAATATTTGGTTCAAAGTCCAACAAAGTGGTGTCTATGGACTCGGCTCGTTCACCGACTGCAGTAACAATATGTCCAGACCCCAGCCTTCTGAGTCGAATCCTTCCGGAAGGCCGTCCATGGGCGCGTCTGCTCATATGCTTGCCGGGGACACTGGTTAATTCTTGTTTAATAATTTCCAAAAAATTTTCGGAGACCTCCGTCCGTTTGCTCTGATGAAGTTTATGCAGGACACAACCACCTTCATGACAGATTCCCACCTCAGAACTTTGCAGCTTGACGCTGGCTCGGTCACGATCACGTCAGAATATACCATTGTGTGAGGAGGTGAAGATGAGCCACTATTAACTATAAATAGCTCATAACTATGGTCAATTTTAATTAGAATGCCAACCTTTAAGTACGGATATGTTATGATGTTATGATAGGAAAATGCAATTTAATAAAAATTGGTTGATGTTTAGAGGGATTGTGTGGGATCGTTAAGTGGGCCGCTCCAATTGCTTTGGCGGGCCGGATGTGGCCCGTGGGCCGTAGTTTGGGGACCCCTGCTTTAGAGTGATGAATGGTAAAGTAGGAAAACAAATGATAAAGACTGTAGATGGCAAACAACACAGTCATCATATGATATGCGTGGTATGTTTGCAAGGAGGTCGGTCGGCTGTGTTTTTCAGTCCCTAATACAGCTCAGAACACAAAGTGGACAAATGTGTCAAGACAGATGGAAGAATATGGCACGTTCGTGTCAATATTGAGTTGCCAGTTGGGGGGGTAAAAAAAAAAAGTGTTCATGTCAGCCTCACAGGAGGTAATGGTATCTCTGGCTCTGAATCTCAAATCTGAAGCCAGTACAGCTGGTAGCTGAATGCCACAAACAATCCAGTGACGTGCACTTCAAGGTCACAGATTTTAAATCCATTAGAATATGTATAGAACATGTATTTCAGGTGTGGCTGCTTTAGTATCAATAATTCAGTGTCAGTTCAGCTTTTTCTGTGATGGCATTAATACAGTTTGAGATAAGTCTGCAGGTTTTTAGTCCACCGGGTAATTTCACTGATTAATTCCACCTCTCTGTTTAAACTTGTGTTAATAAGTGATATCAGCTGGTGTCGTCATTGGCTGGAATGGAAAATCTGCAAGCTCCTGGCGCTCCACATCTCATGGTTGCCTGTTTCTGGCTTAGACAGGACTGTCTGTGCCTGAGCTGGACCGAGCTCTTGTGACGGATTGAGATGGATCAATGAGCAGGACGCCTGACTATTCGTCACCACCGCACTTGACATATCACCAGTTATTTTTGCTGGATTTTCTGTCTCTTTATCATCATTAAACTTCAGTTGCAAACTTATGGCATCACCAGTTGGTTGTCTAATTTATCACTGAGCTGAGTCTGTGAGACTTACCCAAATAACAGGCACACCAGGTGTTCCTGCATTGCATATTTGCCGGTTTTGTATTATTCCTCATAACAGACATGGAGTTTGCCTATATGAGGAAGCACACAAGCCCTAAATTGGTTTTGGGGTTTGTTTAGGGGGCCATTGTTTGTTCTCCACACCTGCCGCCTGTAACTGCCAGTCAGATCAGTGTGCCCCAAATCTCTAAATCTCTGAACCACAGAGATCAATGCACACCAGAGAGGACAAACAGAGAGTGATAGCGATGAAAGAGAGATGAGAAAGATGGGAAGACAAGCATTAGAGAGGCAGAAGGGGAGCAAGAGGTACGACATGGAGAGGGAGTTAACTGCTGTGACGGATGAGCTTTGTATCGGTGGAGCTGGTTTGTTTTGCTTGATCTGTCGGATCATACAGGGAGAGAATCCATGAGTGTCAATGAAGCTGTGCTGAATCATATTTTAATGGAAGTGACGGCATGTTTTCAGACTTAAACAGCTGCATGGGGTTGAAACGGATTCTCAAGATCTAAGCTGCTCTTTTTTTGGGATGTGTGACAGATGTAAGATTTTTGAAACTACAGCACAGCCGAAGTTCCTATCCACCTCAAAGAGGTAGGAATTCAATTCCCAGTCATGGCACCTCAGCTAACACACTGGTTTTGTTGGCAGGTAGGAAACCAGACAAAAGTTATCATCCTTGTTGTTGCACAAGCAACTCTCACTGGTTGGCTGTGGCACCACTCAATGGGGAGTGCAATTGGTATGTTTTTACCTCACAAGTTTAATAATTGTTTTGGTATCTGATTCCATTTAAATACTTTAAATCTGCAGTAAGTGATTACTTTTGGTCACCTGGGGGCAGCAGAAACATGCTGTGAACAGAATATTAACATATTATCACCTTTAAGTTAATGTGGGACTTTTGTTAGTAAGTTTTTACGTATTTA